TTTGCTGACGGAGTCTTACAAGGTACGGTTTTATTAAATAAAACAACTAATGTGGCAGTATTACGGTCACTCTGGCAGTAATTGGGACAAATTTACCCTAAACCAGGGGTAATGAATTCGAACGGAATTTCTATACCCGTGGAACATTTGTGGGAGGAAATAAACTTTCAGCAATATTGTTTAGAACATTGTAAATCAATGATTTCGAGAGAAAGAGATAGGCTTGCCCGAGCGTGGAAGTCGACAGGTCCGCGGATAGAACTTTTGCGAATGCTGAACCCCCGCGTGACAGCGTACGAAAGTTTTGCTGACACGGACGACTTTAAATGTCAGCAAGTGAGAGACGACGCCGCCGCCTCGGAACGGTTAAACGAATTCTATTTTTATTACGAGCCGCTTCGTTGATTAGCGCAACGCTTGTCGTACAGAGGGTCGTAACGTTTTCGAGGTCTTATTGGACTGTTACTGTTTTCGGTGAAAATCCGAAACATACACTTGATTTTTTTCAGTGAATCAATTATGACACAATATAAATCTAATTAATCGAATTATTAACTATATTTTCGTATAATCGCGTGTAAGCTAACGTTTCATTTTTAATTCGTACACCTTTAGTGGATAATTGTTAATCAAGAAAGTTATCCGGTGGAAAAATTTAAAAATTGTAATTTTATTTCTACGCGAGCACAAAAAGAACAGATTTTTTTTTCTATTAATTTTAATCGTCCACTGCTCAATATCGAGACACTTATCGAATAATTGCAGTATACGTGGATGTTTATTGATCGTTGCAATAATGCTCGATATATTGGTACGTCGATACCATGATCGTAGTGTAAGTGCATCGTTGCACTTATTCGATAATCTATCGTTGCACTAATTCGTACGGTTCTGCAATACCACTGAGCACTGATACGCTGTTCCGATCGATTCATCGATACGCATTGCTGTACAAACGCACTTACGTATATCAATGCATCAATGGACCGACAGAGCTACTATATTAGCGCGTTAACGCACTGATTAACTGATGTATCAATCTGCCAGTGATGCCAGGGAAACAATATAAGACACGAATCGTCGATATCGAATACAGCGACCCAACAGGTGCAATAACACCTCAATGTTTCGATGCACTGATGCACCAATACTCCAATCCATCGTTTCATTGATACGTATAGTCGTTTTGCTCGGTTATGGTTGCACCAATGCACCGATATACATACACAGACTACCGTGTGTTTTATGGAATATCGGAAGCGTTTCCTACAGACCGGTCTATGGAAACCATAAATCCGTGGGCAAAGAAATATCCGGAAAAGTCAAAGGACACACCGGAAGGAGTCCATGCCACAGAACAATGGATAATGGGGTCGCGGGGCCTGGAACGGAGTGGAATCGGCATTAAATCACAGCGGAGGGGAACTTCGAACTAAACCACCGCTGGTCTCTCTCTTTCTCATTCTCTCTCTCTTCGCGTGAATACATACTACCCCCGATTTCGCGATCCATCGCGTCAAGATGCACGGAAAATGTTCGTCGTAACACCTGTCGTCGCGTTGATCAATTCAAACTTTCGAGGTGATAGGAAGAAATCGATTATTATAAACGTACTACGACTAACTTTTTACGGTGAACTGTTTTCTGGTGGCCTGGTTCGCGAATACTGGAATAATCGAACACTTGGAAAAAGTTTGTGGGAGGAAGAATTGAAATGTTTAACGATTAACACTTAATTATGACTGTGGTTAATGGACGACGAAGAAGAAACATTCTATAATAGTGGAACGAACGGTGAAAGTGATGGTAGTGAAATAGACAACGGCTTGAATAGTGTCCCTTGTTTAGTAACAATAGTAAATAATAAATAATTCCTCGTGTGTCGATTATTACCGATTGGAGGCGAATTTTTTTAGTTCCATCCATCCATTCATCGACCAGACATTCGATTCGAACATTGGTAGTTCTGTGTTGCATTAAACGTAAATTGGTAAAATTGAACGGATCTTTATTGAATTACTGTTCTCACCAGTGTTACGGTCGTTTCGTATGATTTTATGAACGCGTTACCATTCGCGGTGTAATCGTGAATAACGATCGTTGGGGGGATCGTCGCCTGGATATTACTCGCGATTTCGAGCACGGTGGTTTCGTCGAGTGTGAAATTCGCGACTCTTGATTGTTAATAGAGGAGAATTTTACTCGGTACCGCGAGCGGTCGAACCGCAAACGACAAAACCGCGAACGATTTGACAGACATTTTCGGTACCAAATAAACAGCGAGAGGGAGGACACGTGTCCATGTTAGTCGCGAGATTATCGATTGTACACGTTTACGAAACTGTACGAAATTTCTTCGAACCTGGAAAAATGAAAACCTGTGTTCAAAAAAAATAGTTCAAGACTTTAGACACTTATAGGACTCACCGAAGTAGAGTGGAAAATGTTTAACAATGAAAATCCCAAAATCCATCCTCTCGAGATATCTTCCTTCCATTTTCATACAAAACTTATATATTTTTTCGACATTTTCAAATATTAATTCCAAGCTTGTATTGCCCTGTTGTTGTATAACTTTGAATTAATGTATACCTAAAAAACTCTAGAAACGTTGAGCAACAATATATTCCCCGTAATCTTTGTAATTTAATCCAGACATCATCCTTGACATTTCCGTGAATCGAAAGAGAACCGAAGGACCGTATAATGTTACCTGCTAATTAATTAATCGCGAAACGTTCGTCGAATCTTTCACGGAATTCTGCACTATCCGTTCAAGATCAACGTTCGTTACCCAGTGTCACTGGAATTTATTAAATAATCTTTTCTTTTCATCATTTAAGAAAGACTCGTTCGTGAAACAAAACAGTCGACAAATCTCTCGTACCAGAAGTTGATTAATCGTAAATATATTTAAATCGTTGACAAATTCCACCGCGTTTCAATTCATAACGAAACTAGTCTCCAGAATCAATTAATACATAATCGATGTTTTTACGTTACTACAAAAGTCGTTTAGTCTCAAACAATCACGGATTCTTAATAAATTCTGCGTTCTCCATTCAACCATAATCGCTCTATTCACTTTCGGTTTACCGCCAAAGTGACCTTCCAGAAGGAGAGAAAAAAAAAGAGAAAAAATAAACCACCGATAGTCAGCTACGATGTTTAAATCCGTGAGTCACCTGACTCCATAAAACGTGCTCCTTCTGTACGTGCAAGTCCATCGTGAAATTGAATGACCAGAATACCGTATGGACTACGGCCGAGTTGCCCGCGGTTTATTTATTTTCCGCGTCGTCCTCGAAGCCCGACGATCGTCGCCGAGGATGAATCGCCGAAGCATCCACAACAGAGACGAGGAAAAAATCATTATCTCGACAAAGAGTTTCGAGTGAACGATAAAAAAAAAAAAGATATATAGTGTGTACCGAAATTTCAAATTTTATTCTTTTTATAATGAAATATGTAATGCTTCTTCGAGAATGAGTTGGAAATTTTGAAACTCGAGATGATTTCGGGTGGAACTAAGGAATTTGGAACCAGTACTAGTTGGAACTTGGGAAACAATTATTTAATCTTGCCAACTGTTTGAATGTCAGGATAATGGTCTTAGATAATGCTGCTTTTCGTTATAGCTTATTTCGAATACAACTGTACTCGACTCGGATCGACAAGGACGCGAGACCAGCCATGGAGTGCAAACGAATGATCGACGAGGGGAGGGAGAGGGGCGTTCGTTAGTTCGCGAATTTCGTCGTCGCGAAACGAACGAAATTATATAATTGTCGAGGACAACCGTCGAAGGTGAAGCACGAACGGAGGCGCGAACAAGCTTTTACGACCTGACGATAATTAACAGAGAGGCTACCGTTGGATCACGATCCTCTCGAATCGCGTTTGGGTAAATTCAGCCAGTCGAAACTCTAAATTGAAAAGGTCTCGACGAACGGATACACTCGAATAATATAGGATTCTGTTTCCTGAACCCGCAGGCAAATAAGTGAAACGAGTCAATAAAAGTTTGCTAATGGAATAAAGAATTAACTTCGAACAATGTACATGCTGCTAGTCAATCGTCTGGGATCAACTCTCAGCTACAGTTTCCGATGATATTGAACAGATCATCTCTTAACGGTATTTTCCATGGATATAACTTGTCCGTCCTTATTGAAGTATTCAAAATATACTCGCAAGACGGGCTAATGGTCCGCGTGGTTAACAGCTAACGTAAACCAATAAAAGCTTCGTTTACAGCCGAGCTTTACGTCCACGAGCGTTTACCCCTCCCGTTTAACCTTTTACGATCGGCAGCAACGGCCGGGCACGGCGAACCATGAAGCTTTAATCAGAGTTTCGCTTGTGCGGACTCGTAATGGCGGGCAAACGAGTAGTTCGATATGTAATTTAAAAAAAAAAAGAACAACAAGAAAGGGACAATGAACCGATTCGTATTTATGCTTCTGATACCTGGTAATGGCGTATTCTTTAAAAACAAAGCTCCTCATAAATAAAAAAGGAAGAAGAAAAAACATTTTCGTTTGCCTTGTACCATGATCACAGTTTTCGTCGATTTCAACACACGTCACGACTGTATATTATACAGTATAAAGGATCGATCCCTTGAATTCCGTTGCACGACGGTTCGATGGTTCCTTGGATTGATAATCGGGGCATGTATCTAACTAATAATAAAATCAAAGAATCGATCGTTTGATTCAGATCGGTCGATGGATCAACAATCTCTCGGGATCGACAATCTTTGGAGATCTACAATTTATCCTGACCGACTATTCCTCGAGATCGACAATTTTTCGGGATCAACAATCTTTCGAAATCAACAATTTGTCGCGATCGACTATTCCTCGGGATCGAGAATCGGAGCATAGATCCAACCGATGATAAGATCAAAAGATCGATCGTTTCAATTATATCGCGCAATGGATCGACGGTTCCTCGGGAACAATAACCAATCCCGTGAAACGAACGAGAACTCTTACCTTTCGCGGCTCAGGTGCATAGATCCCCGGCAACGGTGCGAGTAGATGCAGACCGGCCGGGTTCGGTATGCCGGAAGCAGGATGTCCAGGCGGGATCGGAAGCGGCACCAGCTTCAGGCCCCAGGGTAGGTACCAGGGCGCCGTGTGGTGCATGATCGCGGCACGATCGTCGACTATTCCACTGTACGGCGAGAACAACGCGCCAGGATGCGTCACACGACCGTTACGAATAACGCAATTACACTGACGGTTGGGTTAAGGGATGAAGGATGTGTATTTGTGTGTGTGTGTGTGTATGTATTAAAATCTCGATGCACACGTATTCGACGTACGACAATATCCGTCGAAAGAATAACAATAAAAGAAAAAAACTTCGTAAAACGAGGGACGGGAGGGAGAGGATCGAGAGATAACGTCCCCTAAGGAACGTGTGTCGTGACGTGGGGGATCGAGAAACAGGAATCACATTGGCATCTTTCGCGAAACACCCCAGTGATCGAACGATTCTCTTTCTTTTCTTTTTTTTTCCTTCTCTTCGATCGTCAGCGATGGGGACGATATGGATGTCACACGCGCTAACACTTGTCGCACACTGACGTCATCGTAGGGATCGAATTTTGTGTACGTGTGGTTTTGCTCTTCTTCTTTCTTTATTTTTTAATCGCGACCACCCTTCGAAGGGGCTGTTTATATCCTGCTCGAGGATATCTTTGCGTGTGTTTCTGCGCGTACGTTGACACCGGTTTTGTCGTCGATCGAACACCGATTTTTTCGAACGGAGTTAAAAAAAAACACCACGTATCGGCCGGGGGGAGGAGGGAGGAAAACACACGACGTGCTCTCCGGGAGCGCGCGGCAACGACTGATCAACGATCGAGCGTCGACGCGCGAGCACATGGCCGCGTCCCTGCCTCCCCCTCCCACCCAAGAGGCGCGCGCGATCGAGCTCTCTGCTTCTAGGCCGACAGACCGTTCCCTCTCTCTCTCTCTTTCTCTCTAGTTTCATACAGCAAACTCCCCTTCCGCGGGGGATGGCAACCCCTCCATTTTCCGTCGATCCCCGGCTAGAAACGTTTGATACGTTTGACTTTTCCTACCTGACATTTTCCGCCTTATCTGCCCCCCTACCTTCTCCTCCAACGCTTTTTTTTCTTCTCCTTGATCGCTGCCTTCCCTATTTTCAACCCCTCCTTTCTCGTATTTTCTACTATACGTGCGACACACAGGACGTAAACATTGCTCCGACGTTTCTTCTCGAATAGACATGTTGTACTCGAGCTCGCGGAAGAAAAGAAAAACTGGCGAAGGTGAAATCCTGTATTATGTTTTCTCCAAAGATTATGAATTGCTAAATGAGGTCACACGAAGAAGAACGAAACGAAAGATAATTTTGAAAAACGACTGAAATTTTGAGAAAAGTATTCTTCGTTGTAAGTAACCAAAATGTTTTCGAATCGTTATTATATTATTATTATTATGTCCATTCAGAGAATCAGAAAAACAATTTTGCACCACGATTCCGGGTCCGACCGAAGGGAATCGTTGTCGATTAAATTACCCGCACGGTACAATTTTCCAAACGACTCGCAGGAAACTCGCCAGGAATTATTTACGTTCTCGTTAAATATAATTACCGTCCGACGTGAGGCTTAATCTAAAATTGGGCATACACCCCGGTGGGATCTAAACTGTATCTAACTTCGCGGACGCCGGCGGGCGGGATACTCTCGTAGACTATCAAACGAGATCCCATATCGCGCCTCGATCTCCCCTAACGAATCACATATTTATCGACGGTGTCTCGACGACGACACTGATTAAAAAGCCATCAATGAAGAAGAGGAAAAAAACGAGGGAATCTCGAAAAGTGGTTGACCCTGTGTACAACACGTTCACCTGGCTAAGTCCTGATTAATAATAATAACAACATTATATGGGAACGGTAGTTATGGTCACTTTTCAACAAAACTTTTATAACGACGACGATGGATGAACATGTTCGTGGAGTGTTTCATCGAAACGGTGTGTCCAGACAGTACGGATTAACCCTTAACTGAGATCAGGCAGAAATCTTATACTTTTTACACGAATCTTTTCCCACACAGAAATTTCATTACTTATTACAGAAATATTTATATTATATTCACGTGAAAGAAAACGTCGAAGTAAAGAAGCATCTCTAATTATTTTACGGTAAACGAAACGAATATTCTGATTAGGGGAGCACAGGGTATTGGCGGTCGATATTATTACGAAACAAAATATTTAAGGGAAAGCAATTATTTTGTTATTTAATAATTTTAGTTTGTAAACGATACCTTGCAAGAAATATTTGATTTAATATTTTGAGTTTATTACAATTATGGCTTAAACAACCGCCATTATACCCTTTTATCGTACTCCGAATCGACGAGTGAAAAGGGGAGCTAGAACTGCGACAGAATAATCATTGCGTGGTAGTATAAATGCTCGCCCGAAGTTTCGATGAACGGCGAATAAAAACGACGGCTACTTCGAACCGCGAGTTTTAAACAAGTACACCCATCGGAACCGGCCTCGACGCACCATTAAAACAGGCAGAAATGAGAGGCGTCGGTAAACAGCAGCTGCACGCCTGGCGGCGTATGTTGGAGCAAATATTGATGGACCAAACGTTCATTTGCGTGGAGACGAATGTCGAATATTAATATTAATTCCGTTGCGCGCGTTCGTGCAGTCCGATGTTCACGGAGCACCGTATTGCTTTTCGCGATAACGATAAAGATCTTTTTTTTCGTCGATCTTCATCTTTCGTATTTGCTAGATTTTACAAAAAAAAGAAGATTCGATCCCGAACGATCTGTTTCGACGGGATTCCTTTCCGCAAAAAACCCCTGGAACGGAGGGTTTCTTCGTGTGTCCGCTTTGTATTCGATGCGTATCGCGTTTACAGGGATTGATTGCCACCGACGGGGAAGGTTGCTCATTCTACGGGAGCAGGAGAATGGTGTCCTTTTACTGGCCGCGATATTTCGATGTTTTGTGGGTTCGTTTTGCGGCGACGTCGAAGGGCACGGAGATTGTTCTCGAATTTCATCGACGAGAAATGGAAATGTTCGTGGGTTGGTTTGAATTTCCTTTCGGGAAAATAAACTATATGCAAGATCTCTCCTAAAAATAACTAAACTTTTTAAATAATCGAGAAAACGCTAGTAACGATATCTACATTAAACAAAATTTCGTCGAAAAATTCTATCCGTGATTGATATTGCGAAAAAGGTTCATCAGATTTTTATCATATAAACAAGAAAATTCGTTTATTTTTCAGGGGCAGATCTCGTACACCTCGTACTCAGGTGTTCTTAGTTTTCAAATTGACAATACTGTCTTCGATACTTTGAAACGGCAGTAATGAAGTGTCGATACTCGAATATTTAAACGTTCCAATGACATTTAGTCATTATCATCGAACGGACAAAAGACTTCGGCGATTTTCACCTTTATTCTTAATGGTACACGCGATAAAGCTCGTCGACCGACAAGACTCTTGTCCTCGTGGACGAGATGATGCGATATTAATCACCGCATTCTTCGGCGAGAACCGATAATACCTGATGGACGACACGGAACATTCCTCCCCGTGATATCACGATAAATTACCGATCCTCGTTAAGCGAACGCCACTAATGACACATTTAAAAACGTTCAATACCGTGTACAAGAATGAATACGCCGAAACCTTCGACTGTTCGCCGAGAACAAGTTTTCTCTTCTGCCCAAGGTTACAAACGCTGCAACTTCGATGGATAGGTGAAAGGACACGATCGGTCAGTGTCGATCATTGATACTCCGCGACACCGTGTCAAAAATGTTGGTGATAATAAATATTTCGAAAGAATCGAATCTAACATCGCCACTCGTTACGAACTGTAAATTACGTTCTGGTCGAATAAAAAAAATAACTGAGGATCTCGACGATGCTCGATTAGAAGCTCAATTGTATTTGAAAAAAATTGAAGGTGACCTTAAAAAATCATGAAAAAAAAGAGTTGAAAAAAAAATTTGCTATAATCACGTTAAAACTCTCTTGAAACCTGATAAAAACATTTTCGATCGGACAGCTGATAAAAGAGTAATCTCTACTGATCACGATTCGTGGTTCACCCTGTATACGGATTGTACCCTTCAGGATGAGTTAAGATTCAATGGAAATAGAAACCACGATTAGAAATCCAACGTGTGTGTCACCACAACCTATTCGATAACACGAAATCATCTAGAAAGCATCGCTAATGATCGTCTGTATCGCTGTCCGATATCGCTAGATCGCCCCTGGCTCATTATTCAAGGATCGATGGATAGGCCATGTAACAAGACGTGTGCGTTGGACGCGCAAGATTTCCAGTCATCGACACGAGACTCTAGTCACGCGAGTTGTTTCTTTCTTTCTTTTTTTTTTTGCGTAACAGACAACGTAACGCCGCGTAACACGCCGTTCGCGATATGGAATAAGCCAGACACGCGTGAAATCGCGAATCAAGAATGCCACCGCGAGATACGTGTGTGTATCGATCCATGAAAATTTTGAAATCTCACTCGATGAACCAACAGGTATGACGGGGTCTTTCTTGATCTGTATCGTAAACATTTACGCACGATAATTGATTGATTGATCATTTTCTGATATCGATCTAAACAATTATTAAGACTGGTTCGCGCAGTCCCGTTTACTCGGATTTCGGTTAATAAAACGTCAGGATCACGTTAATTAACCTAACGTTAAGCCAATTAAACCTAAATACAAGGAGTTAATAATTTTTCGTTTCTTTTTTTGTTTTTATAGAATGAAACTGAAGTACAGCGTGATCAAAAAGGAGACAGAGATAGAAACGTTGGTGTGTCTTTTATTTCCAGAGTCGGGAAGAGAAACGAACGGTGGCGGCGAGAGGCTTTCCAAGGTGAAATATACAGTCGCCACACGTATCTTCTCTGGTTCCCCGTTACGGACAAAGAGCCCAGGCACTCCAGGCTATTTGCTCCCGTGATATTTGTAAGCTGTTGGGATGGGGGGAGGAAGGATTTACCACGTCTGAAAGCACAATCGGAGGAGGGGAGGGGACATTTCAAGTGTCCCATGAACGATACGCCGTAATGGATACCCTGAAATTAATGACTCGATTTCGCGGGATCCGAAAATTATCTCACTGGAATAAACGGTGTCGGACACGGGGTCTTTATACGAGACGACCACTTTTTCGCGGCTGAAATGGACCATCAAAATGATGTGGAATGCGAAATACCTATTTGGGTAATATGCAATAATCGGTAATAACCGAAAGCACGCGTTCACACATTTCTATATACAGTAAATCATCGATGAGTGCTCGAAGGCTCCTCGACATCGACACGGAAGGGTCCTCAGGTGTAACGTTGATTTTTTAATGTGGTCTAGCACAGTGATTTTGGAATTCTGAAGCCAATTTATATTTGTTTCAGCTACATATAGCCATTAGTTTATAAAATATTTAATGTTCAGTGCCCTGGAGCCTTCGAACACTCGTCGAGGATTTACTATATCGTCTGTTGAGCCTCTTTTTATGATGACGGTAATACCAGAAAACATAACGAAAAATATATTCACGTTCATCTTCTCAGACTGGAAAATTCAAAACGGACAAACAAACGGAGAAAGTGGTATGCGTAAATCGTAATATTCGAAGCGTAACAGTCCCAATGAATAGTATTGCGGGTTTCCATTAGAAAATATCAATTATTCACGGTCGAAGTGACATTCCCGTAAAATCAAAATCACCCAGTGTCCCCCACGGAGAATCCATGGAATCCGCTTTATTTCCGTGGTGTCCTTTGTG